TGATGGATCGTCCCATCTAGTAATATTCTCTTTTAATTTTCTAATAGCTGAGCTGGTGTTCTAGCTGCTATCCAGTCGCGGCTCCAGGAATCCTCGATAATTTTGGTTACCCATTTTTTTAGATCTGGTCCTGGTACCTCTCGCGTATATTTGGCCATGTGCCGACCAGAGGCTGCTAGATGGTCCGCCTCTACATTCCCCCGAACACCACAGTGCCCTGGGATCCAAACGAATGTTGTGTTATTTGGTGCATGTTCCTGGATCGCCTGGATCCAGGGGTGTCTACTCGTTTCGGACTCAAGGGCAGCAACCACACTGGTGGAGTCGGTGAAGATGGCTATCGGTCGTTCATCGGAGGTGGTGGCAGCGATGAAAGCCGCGGCGGCTTCGGCGGAGAATATCGAACACTGGTCTGGCAGTCGATGACATTCGCTGAGATTGGGACCACAGATCCCGATCCCCACCTTCCCCTGAGCGACCGAGCCATCGGTGTATCTGATTGAGTATCCTTCGTATTTTCGTTTTTGAAGGTCTAGGACCGTTTGTGCCACTGCTAAAGGGTTGGAACCTGCTTTAAACTTATTTTTGATTGTAGGGTCGGTTCGAATTTTTGGCAGGCTCCAACCCCTGGCTCCACACCAGTGGACCCTGGACACCGGTGGGAGTACTTGGTTGGATGATTCTCTGAGGAGTTGGTTAGCCTCAACGAGGAGGAAACCTTCCTTCCTGCTACCGGACGTGTTTTCACAGTGGCTGATGGCTCGATGGCAGATTGTTTTGGTTATGTACCTGTTGAAGGGGAGCACTCCGCCCTCGATACAGGCAGCTATTCCAGGAGTACCTGGGAGGAGGCCCGATGATAATCGTAAGGCTTGCTGGTAGACGGGTGCAAGTTTTTCCACCAGCAGAGGCATTGCGAGGTAGGTTGCTTCAATCCCGTATGTTAGGCGTGAGTTTATGATAGCTTTTGCAACGTTCAGACGAGTCTGCCGGTCGGCATTTGGGTGGCGCCCAGCCAGAGTTTTCAGCAGGTTGATTCGCTGTTTACAACTGCTTTTAACCTCGTTGAAGTGCGGGCCGAATGTGAGGTGACGGTCGAAGCAGACTCCGAGGATTCGAATGGTTTTATGGAATGGGACCGGTTTCCCGTTGATGAGGATCTTGGTGCTCAAGACCTTGTGATTGGTCTAGCATACGTGTGTATACCCGCTTTTGCTTGCGGAGAGCTGAAATCCAGCTGACGAAGCCCAGGTTGATACGTAGGCGGTGGCTTGTATAAGTTTTCTTCGTAATGCTCTGACTGTTGCTCGGACCACCATGAGAACGATATCATCATGCAACCGCGAGAAGACACCGTTCATCCTTATGAGAAATAGTGTAACCGCAATCACCGATGCCTGGGGTACCCCGGTTTCCTCGTTGAAGGTCTTGGAGTGGCAATTTCCAAGGGTAACTTGGAAGGTACGGTGTGACAGAAAGTTTCGTATAAATTTCAGAATATGGCCCTTAAGTCCCCATTTCTTGAGCTGTTTTAACACCCCCGGCATCCAAGCACGGTTGTATGCCTTAGATATATCCAGGGTGGCCAGTTCGACGTGGTGATTTTTGGCGAATGCATCCTGAAGTGCTTCACTTAGGGTTCCAAAGTAGGTGTTGGTCCCATGTCCCGGTCTGAAGGCATGTTGTCGGCGATCGAGTAACCTTCCAGTTTCCAGAAAATCCATGTGCCTTCGGTTCACCATCCTCTCCATCAGTTTAGATGCGCAACAGGTCAGCGAGATTGGTCGAAATTTATCGACTCCGTGTCCTGAGGTGTTCGGTTTTGGGATCGGAATGGTAAGGCTGTGCCTCCATTTTTCCGGAAAAGAGTCCTGCAGCCATTCTTGATTGAGCAGTTCCAGGAATTTTACCTGCTCGGCCATGGGAAGGTTTCGAATAAGAGGGTATCCAACTTCGTCAGGTCCAGTGGACCCTCCTCTGGCCTTCGATAAGGCAAGAGAGAACTCGCGCATACTAAATGGCTGGTTGATTGCTGAGTCGTCTTCTTCTGGTATATGCATGTTAACAATTGAGTCAATGGACGGGTTGTTGATCTGGTGGAAATTCTCATCATAACCTTCAATTGATGATAGGGCGGCAAAGTGATTGCCTAATACGTCAACGATTTTATCTGGATCTCGTGTGGTTGTCCCTTCGTGTTCGATGATTATGCCCCGTGCCTTCCTCTTTCCGCTGAGGGCATTCACCTTACCCCACAGGTCGACGGTCGTTTGGCTAGGGTTTATTTCGTCGAGAAAGTCTTCCCAGCTGTTTTTTTGCTTCCCTGATGGTGTCTCTACATTCGTTTCTCTTTGCTCTGTAGTGCTTCAGAGCGGTCTCCTTATCTGGGTGGTCGGCAGGTAAGCGCTTGGCAGCCCGGAGGGCTTTCCTTCTGGCTTTTATAACGGCTTTGGTGGTGGGTGACCACCAATGGAGGGCTTTCCTACCTGGTGTAGGGCTAGATCTAGGGATGACTCCGGTAGCTGCTTCGTATATTGTTTCGGTGAGCTCAGCGATGCTACTGGGGCTCGTTCTCCGGCAGGTTTCCTTGATGGCTTCCTTATATTTAGCCCAGTCAGCCTGATGGTAGAGCCATCGTGGTCTCCGAGATATCTCGGGAGGTCTTTCGTTTAGCTGGATCCCTATTGGGTGGTGATCGCTGCCCATTGGGTCATCACTGGCGAACCAAAGGATTCTATTGACAATACTGTCGCTGGCGAAGGATATATCAACGGTCGATTCCCTCCGACCACTGGTGTAGGTGGTGGATCCATCGTTTAGAAGGACAAGGTTCCTGGATTCAGCAAGGTCCATTATCTCAATTCCTCTTCGGTTCGACTGGTGCCTACCCCATGCTTGGTGATGACCGTTGACATCTCCGAGTAGAAGGGTAGGTTCCTCGAGGGTCTCCAGGAAGCTTTCAAGGCGGTTTCGGAGGTCAGCTATCTTTTGGCATGGCAAAATAATTTAGATACAAATCCCTGCTGCCGAATTGTATTTTGTTTTCTCCGCCCATCTCTCCCTCTGAGTATTTCTAGTTAAAAGCTTCAAAAACTGCTTGGAGCACTCTTAAATGATTGTTTACGTTCGGTTTAACTATATGCTTTATAAGACCTACGATAACTTTTATAGCACCTTAGTTAAACTGATTCACAGCTATACAGAACGTGGAATAAAAACGCATCAAAATAAACCATTTGGAGCTCTTATAAAACACCTGAGTTGATCAAACGTTGAATAATAGCTTCCAGAGTTGTACAAGAATGTAGTTGTATTGCCATTTGGTTAAAAGCTTCAAAAGCTGCTTGGAGCACTCTTAAATGATTGTTTACGTTCGACCAACCACCAACCACAATTTTGTTGCTAAAAATAGCACAAGTGATAGGCACGTTTATATGACCATAAGGCAATGATTATTCGACTGCAAGAGAAGTCACTCAAGATGAGCTTTATATACTTCACTCATATGATCAAAATATGTATTCAAGAATAGAGCAGATGGAAACAGAAGCGGCTGGCAATCCGGGATCGTGAGTTCGAATCTTGCTTCGAGAAACCCTCGGTGGAGTAGAGCTAAATTATATATAGGTGTTATTTAATAAATGCAAACATTAATTTAAGACATATATCATATAATCAACGATAGCATTTCTAGATAAATTCTCTCAATTAATGATTAGAGAGATTAATTAAAAGAACATCAATCAAAGATTAAACAGATGTTTGTTACTACTTCCTCCATGATCACAGAATGTGAATTATAGCATAATTACATATTTTTTCAATGTGCACAAATAAATTAAATTAATAAAAACTGTACAAGCAGTTATTTTGGCGTACCACGACAATTGTTAAACTAATTTTAATCTGTGAATATTGTGAGTACTTACACAACGGTTATTAAGGAGTCATTAAAAAGTGCTATAAACGCTTTTCACCGCTTGCTGTATAGTGATTATTTAGGAGTCATAAAAGAGTGTATCAAACGCCTCTCAGGTTCAATCTCTAATACATTTCGAAGCAGCTGTTAGGAGGTGTCTACAAACGTTGTATTAGAGCTTTTACCAAAACAATAAAGCTTGAGTTTAAATATGTATCTATAAACGTTGTATAAAAGTTGCATCTATCCGGTTGTTAAGGAGTCATTGAAAAGTGCTATAAACGCTTTTCACCGCTTGCTGTACAATGATTATTTAGGAGTCATAAAAGAGTGCAACAAACGCCTCTCAGGTTTACTCTCTACAAAATTTCAAAGCAGCTGTCAAGAAGTGTCTACAAACGTTGTATAAGAGCTTTCACCAAAATAATAAAGCTTGAGTTTAAATATGTATCTATAAACGTTGTATAAAAGTTGCTTCTACTCCTATACCGCGTATACATATAATGCTGTAGTTGAACAGGTTCTCCAAACCAGTGTAAACAAGAGTTTTACAGAAGTTGTGATAAACAAATTGTACAGTTATTATTCACCATGCAGTTGAATAAAATCACAATGGAAGCGTTTCTCCAACAAGAAATTGATTTTGGGTAAACGTTTTACTGAATACGTTAGACAACACCTTTGTGTTGCAGTTGTATAGGTTCTCCAAACCAGTGTAAACAAGGGTTTTATAAAAGTTGTGGTGAACCCATTGTGCAATTATTATTCAACATGCAGCTGAACAAAATCAAAACGAAAGCGTTTCTTCAACTGGAAATTGTTACTTGGGGTATTTCCCAATCGTGTTTTGTTAAGAATTATCGTCGGTGCCAGGTTTGAACAGCTACAACAACTCGATCATAAACGGTGTGATGTGATATGAGGGGCTCGGTGGCCTTAGAGTGACCATTTTTGCTTACTGAGCAGAAAATCATGAGTTTAATCTCATGCTCATCTATTTAACGTAAAAGCGCACTTTTATTAGCGTTTCCGCAGTTTTCGTCGCACTTATAATGTGTGCAATGGACCATATGAGACTTACCAGAACATGCACAACAACAGTGCCATGATGTGAGTTTTAGTGTTGGAATTGTGTTCAACTCGAGTGTTGACTTGCACTCGGCACGAGGGACAGATCAGGGTTGAAGATTCCGGACCTACAGCTGGTGCTGCAAAGATGAATATGAAGTTGTGAATTAATCATTTTGACAAGCTTATGCATTCATGTTCCATCAGATGTCACTGCTGTTGTTTGCGGAGACATCTTTCGGAAACTACGCAAAATATGTTTTCCCGTAATTGTTCACAGAGGATCCTGCAGTGCAAAACATGTCTGGTACCTCTATATGTGCATTTAGATTGATATTCGAAGACCCTCCGCACACAAAATAGCTCACCCCTCACAAAATTTCCCGCCGATTGTTATGAATGGGGCGTGGCAGAAAGTATCTTTTGTGCAGAATATGTAAAAAAGGAGGGACTTCGAATGTTAATCTAAATGCATATATAGAGCAGAGGTACCAGACATGTTTTGTAGTGTCAGATACTCTATTTTGTAATCTGTGAAAGGGAAATCACAAATCGAGTGTGATCAAAATACATGGCATGTTGAGAGATTAAACTCGTGAGAGAGAATTTTCTCTCTCAATTTATAATTTTTTTTTTGACTCTTTGGGGATTAGTTGTAAAGCAGATAAAACTGTATGGGGAAAAATCATTTTTATTTAATTGTAGCTTGTTTAATAATAATTTCCAGGAAAAAAAAACTAAACGACAAAGTCCCTGACTTATTTATTTAGGTTGCCGTTCACTCTTTTTGACCTGAATATGCACCGAAATCGAATTAGTCTCACATCTCTCAAATTCTATATGGGGATTTTTATCACTTCCTACCAGCGGATCAGCGCCATCTCTGTGGTAAATAGCCAGAAGCAGGGATGGAAACTCATTTACATTCATTTACATTCATTTGCCTCTAACTTTTTTCATTAACAGAATACCGTTAAATGATGTATGAAGCTTTTGTAGAATTTGATATTAACTAAAACTTTTGTTAATAGGGTAAAAGTTTTCTTCAGCAATACCTTAACCTGTTATCGTCAGGGGGTAAACAACGTCCTTGAGAGCTCAATTTTGGCATGTGGATACATTGTGTTTCAGAGCAACTATTGGCCAAATTTGAGTGCTCTAGGACTTTGTTTACCCCCTGACGATAATAGGTTAAGGTATTACCGAAGCCAACTTTTCCCCTAAATAAAATATTGTTTTCAGTGAATGCAACTTACATTCACTGAAAAATAATGGTGGGTTATAATCGCTCTGATTCATCATGCATAAGAGATACAGATTAGAAATGTTTGCAAAAAATGTAGGTAACATAAAAACCTACAAAAACTTAAAACACTTTTTTACAGATGAAAAAAGTTAGAGGCAAATGAATGTAAATGAATGCACGAAATGAATGAAAATGATTTTCCATCCCTGGCCGGACGATATGATTAATTCATATTTGTTTTTAAGCCAGTCGAATGTTGTGATTTTCCTTTAATAAGTTTATTCGACTGATTCATTCTAGTCCAATGAAGGGCATAAAAAAGTCTCAAATCCCCAGGAAATGATAAAGCAACACACTTCAAATTCATATCGATAGTAAAAAAGCATTTCAAGTTGAAAACAAACATATTTGAAGTGAGCTAAACGCTGGAATGATTGAAAATATTATTTTATCTCACTGGGTACACTATGCAATTTACTCGAATGGCTCTTATCTGATAGATATAGTCTGCCGGTCAGCGAAAGTAAATAGCGCCAATGTATGCCACTATCCATTTCCATCGATGCACGATGTTATTGTGCAATCACGTTCGACACGGAAATACATGATTCTATAATTTATATAAAAACTATTCTTTATATAAAACAACAATCAAAATGTTACTGCCAATGAAGGCCGGAACAAATCATAATTTTTACTCTTTTCAACCCCTTCAATAGTTTCTGAAAATCATGAGAGTAGAAATAAAAAAAACATGTGTCTGATTGGAGGAAATTTTGTGTTCTTTCAAAAATTGTTACACGTTTGATCGTTTACTCATAATCTGTATTTTGCTTTATGGTTATTTATGTTATTAAATAATATTTTATAATTAGGAACAAATTTTAAAGAATATTTATGATTTTTCCGTTTGGCTACTATGTCACACTGCAAAATACAGTGTTGCCCACAATACAGCTGCTTAATCATGCCATAAGATTATCAATCTTTTAATCAATTAATAAATATTTAGTTTAACACTGGGCTGAAAAACGATTTTCTGCAAAGTTGTAGCTGAGAAAGTTTCCCATAATAATAGTGATAGAACTTGTTAACAGTGCAATATGGAAAAATGCTAGAAGACAGTGAACAAAAAGTTTGGGTTTCCCATAGTTATTTCCATATAAACTTCAAATGGTGTGTGCCAAGTCAGTTTCTTACCAAATGAGTTCAAATTTTGGGAGGCTAAACAGGACCCAATTTGGAACCGTTTGAGTACTATGGAGCGAACATTTCAAATTTTGCATCAGTCTACCGGGCATGTTGAAATGCGGGGTAAGTTGAAACGGAAGGCGTAACTATTACTAAATTTCTATCAGATATGACGTGATGTGACAATTATCCAAAGTTTTATGAAAATCGGAGAAGGGTGAGTTTTTCCGATTCGTAATTTGGCGTGGATCTGCTCCCTTAAACTTGTTTCAATGGTTTCAATGCACTATGAACACTGAGACGTTTCAGAATATTAACTTACCTCCAGCGATGACCATAGTAGGCTGTTGCATTTTGTCGTTCATCGATTGGACTAAAATAACTGTCCTTAGTTTCACTAGAACTTTCTAATTAAAATCTAGTCGCACAAGAAAACAAATCAAAACTTATAGCGAATTCGTTTATTATTGGGGCTGGAACCACTTCCAACCCAGTGCGAAACTGAACTTTTGGTCAGTGCGAACCTCAACCTGAGGTTTGATCAAACTGACGTTTGTAAGAAATCAAGCAGCTTCAAACTGGATACCCGATCCAGATTGGAACTGAATAATAAACGAATTCTCTATAAGCACGGTATGTTGGTAAAATGTAATTCGATGTCACCGCACAATTCAAAGCCAACGCCTGATGTATTTCTACTGATTGCAATTTGACGACAGTGTAGCGCGAATTGCGTGCACTCTAAACTACAGTTGCCTTGGATGTGAAGCCCTTCGCAGTTTGCCGGTTACTACTGCATGCACTATGATTGTGGATTCTCTGGAGTGCACTGAGACAAATAGAGGCTCGACTTATGAACAACAGATATAAATTTCATAAGCGTGACTTATGAATGATTTTCGGGTAACATGAGGTAGCTCCTATACGCCTTTAACAATTTCATTTTCCAAAGTGTTGAAAGACGAGTGGTCAACACACGGGCCCCCTAACCTCAACGTCCATTTTCCAGTTCCAGTGTGCTCCGATTTATTATTATTTTTTGTTAACATTATGTTTCATAAGGCAAATCAATGAAATTCGCACTTATTTCTTATGGTTAAAATTCATAAGTGTTTGTTATGGAATTCTTACGTTCTTTTGCCTGCGTGTATAATGAGTCACGCCAAAAATGAAGCTAATTCTACTAGTAATCCTATAGGGGAAATGGCTCTTATGTTGGCCTATGGATCTAAGATTGGGCCCATCGCTAAAAATCTGCTATTAATCAATTGTATCTAGATGAAAGCTTAATTGTGACGGTACTTATGGATATTTTTGGTCGCTATTGAAAATTTAGCCCATTGCTGAATTTATGAATGCACCCAAATTAAGGACATTTAGGCCGACATTACATCCATTTCCCCTATATAGAGATTCGCGGAAGCGGCTATCTTGAGTCAATCGAGCAGCGAGAACTTTTAAAATGTTAGTTCCAAACGAGCAATCTGATTAAAAAATATAAAGAGGATTTATTATTGAGCTGAAAAGTATTGTAATCGGGTAAATTAAAACTTTTAAAAATAAATAAATTATGATAACTTGGCGCTGTAAAGTTTATTCGATTGAACCTGTACAAATAAAGTAATCAATAAAAATCAGTAAAATACATCTTCCGAGCACTGCTTGCTTGTATCATAAGGAATAAGTGCACCGGAGACCGGAGACGATTAGAAGAAAACTCGCACTTTTATCACCCTTTCTAATAAAGTTGTGTTTAGACAGGGCAAGTCAATTGATCAAGTCAGTTGAATTCAACTGACTTGAATGCAAACTGTACGTGTAAACCATGCCATTCAACTGACTTGATCAACTCACTTGAATTGGGTTCTTTAAGGGTAAATGCATATTCAAAATCTGCATTAAAAATGGAACCCAAACCCAAAATTTCATCAATTCTGTTACACTGGAACTTTTTTAAATAAGTATGATTACATTTGCAAAAATCACCTTATTAGCGTCCCTCGGTGTCACTTTGTATGGGAGCGAGCTGTCAGTTTGTCAGTTTAGTGTCAAACAGTAAAGTTATTATTTTGCTTTAAATCTTGATTTCAAAATCGAGATGAAAGTGTGTGGGTTCGAAAAAAATATCGCTGTGCTCAGAAAACGAAGCTCTTTAAGATTTGTTGTTGTTGTTGTTCTTTATTATTGACATTTTACATCCTGCGGATGCATTCATGTCAGTTGAATTGGTTTTTGTGTAAACATTGTGTGGGTGTGTTCAGAGTGATGTGAGGGTGAGTGTTAGTGTTTACGATACAATTCAAAATTCACTTAGCTTTCTTATCGTTTGCTCGTTTCCTGGTTCATCGTCTGCATGCATCTCATGGTTTACATTTCTTCTCCATAAATTTCTTATATATATATATTCACCATCTTCATTCTTCATGATCTTCCATATATATTTTCCACATTATTTTTCGATTTCTCTGTTCCTTCCTTGCGCTTCATTTTTATCTTCATTCTTCTGCATCTTCATACTCATTCATTTCTTCTGTAGTACTTTCGTTTTCTGCTTCATCTTCATCCTTTTTCACTCCACCTTCTTCGATTTTCATTCAGCATCTTCTTCATGAACTCATTTGCTTCCAACATTTATCGGTAACATTCTTCCGCTGCATCTTCTTCCATTTCTTGTCCGACATCTTCTTCCATTCAGACTTCGTTTTTCTTCTGCATCGCTTGCTTGTTCTTCATCCTCCGCTACGTTTTCTTCCTATATCCTGCACTTTCCTTTCTATTCTATCTTCGCCCTTCAAAGCTTCCGATAAAGTTTGGTTTCATGCAGAAACTTCAGCAACCGCTTGTCAGAATCATCGTCGTTGCGTAACGCCGTAAAAAGGCTTGTGGAATCGATTCCGTATTTCGTCGTGGCCGCTTCAAATTTTCTGCAGTGCAGAATAATGTGACGAACGTCAACAACGGTCTCACAGCATTCACATGCTGGCGGAGCTGTCTTCAGCAGAAATTCATGCGTAACCCTAGTATGACATATGCGCAGACGAGTGAGTACGCGTTGATCGGCAGAGCTGTACTGATCGATCCACTTCTTCGTTTCCCTTTTGACTTCCTTCAGCTTCACATCTGGCAATTGTGCCCAACGTGCTTCCCATAGCTGACGAAAGACTTGGTTCATGTTCTTGATGGAATCAATCCTTGGTACGGCGATGTTGATTGGTGGACTGTTTCGTGCTTCGCTGGCTAGACGGTCTGCTTCTTCGTTACCGCGAATTCTGGCATGACTAGGGATGATATATAAAAACCGATATATTTTTCAATATTAAACAACAACAACAACAACAACAACAACAACAACAACAACAACAACAACAACAACAACAACAACAACAACAACAACAACAACAACAACAACAACAACAACAACAACAACAACAACAACAACAACAACAACAACAACAACAACAACAACAACAACAACAACAACAACAACAACAACAACAACAACAACAACAACAACAACAACAACAACAACAACAACAACAACAACAACAACAACAACAACAACAACAACAACAACAACAACAACAACAACAACAACAACAACAACAACAACAACAACAACAACAACAACAACAACAACAACAACAACAACAACAACAACAACAACAACAACAACAACAACAACAACAACAACAACAACAACAACAACAACAACAACAACAACAACAACAACAACAACAACAACAACAACAACAACAACAACAACAACAACAACAACAACAACAACAACAACAACAACAACAACAACAACAACAACAACAACAACAACAACAACAACAACAACAACAACAACAACAACAACAACAACAACAACAACAACAACAACAACAACAACAACAACAACAACAACAACAACAACAACAACAACAACAACAACAACAACAACAACAACAACAACAACAACAACAACAACAACAACAACAACAACAACAACAACAACAACAACAACAACAACAACAACAACAACAACAACAACAACAACAACAACAACAACAACAACAACAACAACAACAACAACAACAACAACAACAACAACAACAACAACAACAACAACAACAACAACAACAACAACAACAACAACAACAACAACAACAACAACAACAACAACAACAACAACAACAACAACAACAACAACAACAACAACAACAACAACAACAACAACAACAACAACAACAACAACAACAACAACAACAACAACAACAACAACAACAACAACAACAACAACAACAACAACAACAACAACAACAACAACAACAACAACAACAACAACAACAACAACAACAACAACAACAACAACAACAACAACAACAACAACAACAACAACAACAACAACAACAACAACAACAACAACAACAACAACAACAACAACAACAACAACAACAACAACAACAACAACAACAACAACAACAACAACAACAACAACAACAACAACAACAACAACAACAACAACAACAACAACAACAACAACAACAACAACAACAACAACAACAACAACAACAACAACAACAACAACAACAACAACAACAACAACAACAACAACAACAACAACAACAACAACAACAACAACAACAACAACAACAACAACAACAACAACAACAACAACAACAACAACAACAACAACAACAACAACAACAACAACAACAACAACAACAACAACAACAACAACAACAACAACAACAACAACAACAACAACAACAACAACAACAACAACAACAACAACAACAACAACAACAACAACAACAACAACAACAACAACAACAACAACAACAACAACAACAACAACAACAACAACAACAACAACAACAACAACACATTTTGCAATTGAGTTGTAATTTTTATTTGCAAATTTATATATCCTTGATATACACTGAACGAATTCCACAGCGTTATTCTGATTCAGTATATGAAGAGAATGTTTATCGGATCTGTGCATAAAATTTGCATATACCAAAAATGATTAAATTTTAATCTATCTTTGCTTGGTAATATTTTTGAATGAAGTCCAGTCCTGATGTTTATTTTTCGATTTATTTTTAGAATAGTTTTGCGTTATATGTGACAAAACAAAACGTAAATTTCATGTGATTTTCATATAAATTTTAATAAGAATAATTAATGACACGTAAATACTGGAACGCGCAAAATTGGTCGACAAAAAAATTGTTTCCTTTAGTCAAAATTCATGTCATAAGAATCATCTTATTTTTCTTTTGGTAGTTGAATTCATGTATTTAAATGAAAAAAATGTTCGGTTATTCTTTTGGTTTGCCAAATCCGAACTGCCGTGCCTTCCGCATAACTCCTTCCATTAAATTTTGCACAGTGGTCTCATCGCCCTTATTCACCGCGGAACCGAAGTTGGATTTAACTGCTGTTCGTTTTGCATGGATTTATTAGTTTTTTTTAGATTCCGTTTGACCAGGGCCCAATACCCTTCGATAGTGCGGAGTTCTGGGCTGTTGGGAGGGTTGTGGTCTTTGGGTACCACAACCACGTTATTCGCATCATACCACTCGATTGCCTTTTTTCCCATAGTGGCAGCTCGCCAAGTCCGGCCAGAACAGCACAGGTATATAATGTTGCTTTAGGAATGGTAGCAGCCGCTTTCCAGGCACACCTGGACGTAGATCTCTTGATTGATGGTTCCCGTAGTTATAAAAATGCCGCCTTTTAGACCACACGTGCATATGGCCTGCCAGACGAGATATTTTTTCGGGAA